TCACACGAGCAACAAAAATTAGAAATATTCCGACTAATATAGATATCGGGGAAAGGGACAGATGGAAGCAAGGTTCGCGTTACCAGAAGGTATCGTGTCTTTTCAGGTATGAAAAATTTGCCGACAAAATTAATCGCTCGTACCTGGGTATCGTCGTCAGCTTTAGCGGCTTTTAATTTCCGTACGAGTTCTCCTTGTTCCTTCACCTCTTTTAACAATCTTTCTCTGGTTTCGTCAGCCATCGTCGTGCGCGTTTCGATGTTTCTCCGTCGTCGAAGCCCAATTCCAAACGTTTCACGCGACACGGCATCACTGTGTTTTCCAGTAAGTTACAACTATCAGACCCCGGTTCACTACGGTCTGCTCGTTCCATCGACTTTCAATAGTCGCGTACGATTCGTTTGTTTCCGCTTCTTACACGTCTCTCTGTGTTCTTCGAACGATGGGGGAATTTGCTCGATCGTGTGCGTTCCATTCGTCAATTTTTCAAATCAACCAACCTTTATTTCTTCGAAGCGAGCGTCATATTAACGATCGAATATGTAGATACGAGAAACGTATCGAAAAATCCACGCAAGTCCTCCGTTCTACCAACTTCATGCCGCCGCCGCCGTCGCAGCAGCATAACCTCTCAAGGAATGTTACACACCTAATCTCTTCTTTACATATTTTCAATGTTTCTCATATAGATGTTACAAATGTTTTCCAAAAATTTCAGACGGAGAAATATCCAAAAGACACAGACGAAAACTGAACGAATATATAAGAGAGTAATAATAACAAGAGGTTGAACAACGTAATTTGGAAATAATTCGCAGCTGCCTGTATTTTTAACAAATTATACACTTTTGTTGCACTTTGTTCAGAAAGTACGCCTCTATATTCCAAGTGCTCGCAGAGACATGTGTTTACACAGAGTACAAGCTCCAAACGCAAGATGTGAGATAAAAGAATTGCAAGATTTGATAAATCCGACAGGTTGGGATTTATCATACGGGCCAGCAGGCATATCTCAATGGTAGTAAGATACAAAATTTGTCGTTCGTAATACTTCAAACTCAGCTTTTCAAGAGTGGCAAACTCGATTCAACATTTCATGTTCCGTACTTAAAAAAGTAACATTTTTTCTTTCAACAGTTACTATATTTTAATTTGCTTCTTACTACTTTCAGATAAAACCTATTTACGTAGGAGTGGACATCATAGCTAACCCACTACAGCGAACGATGCATTTGGAACTAGCTCCTACTACAACTCTGATTAATATATTCTTACATAAAAAAATGAACTACAGTAATCGCATGAAATTAACGAAAAACTTACGAATATAAAATAAATAAAAAATTCTAAAAGAAGCCTCTTCGGCTGTATATTCTCCCTTGAACAGTTGCAAAATTATAACGATTCTTTCAAAACTACTACACGTTAATAACGAGAATTATTGAACGAATCATGTATTAAATTTCCATAAAACGAGTCTCGTTTAATTCGTTATTCCTGGTGCGGGGGTGATCGAAACGTATTCAAAACTTGTAGCTTTCGCAGCGGCACAGTTAGGCGAATGGCACTGTGTATACAAAAGTGTATATTATCTAAGAATTATGAATTTAAAGAAAAGAAATCTTCCACGTGGAACTGTCGAAAATTATTCTCTGGTTATATATTCACGCGGACGAAGCAAGTAAAGCTGAGCTTTCAATTAAACTGCGTGAACCCACCAATCGTACGTCTGCGTTGGCTCTGTGAGAAGTGGTATTATGCGCCAATTCACACGAGTCATTTGACATTTTAAATTAGACGTACGGAATGGGGAAGAAAGGAATCGGGCCGAAATAGTTGTAACGGTCTTCGGGCTTTTTCTCCCAAAGTCGGGAGATAAGAACGCCGATAAATAACAATATGAGAATATTTTTCTAAAAAATAAAGCGGAAAAGGGTTAAATCTTGATTGATAGGAAATAATCGGTTGATAAAGTAATCGATAATTGAATCTTACGTCGATCGAATCTTCGTCGATAAGACCTCGCAAATATGCTTGCAAAAGAAACTAATTCGCAACTCGGAGAGACAAACACTGGGGAATATTTTTCTAAAAAAAAGAACTAACCCAATTCGGAAAGACAAACCCTAGGGAATATTTTTCTAAAAAAAGAACTAACCCGAACTCGAGAATAAAAAATTGTCGGAATGTCGCTGATGAAAAAAACCGACTTCAGCGTCCTTGAATGGACTGGCTATTTCCGAAAATTCGAATCAATGTACCTAACGAAAGCTTTTTTTTTCAAAGAATTCAAACTGACTGGTAACTCCTCGATGTATCTATTCGATCGAACCCTTTCGTTTTATCTGTCACGTCTCGATCGTATTAGTTGCTGCGTAACTCCCAGCAGGTTACCTATCACGACGATTCGCTGAACAATTGTACGCCAAGAAATAACACCGCGTGGAGGTGTATTTATTTTAACATATAAATTATCTGTGTAGTGATTCTCATAATCCATATTAGTATGTAATTTGAACCCAAATATTTGAATTACACATCTGTCAGGGGAATTAGAGTGAAATTTTGTTAGAGTAAATTTAAATTACAGACCCGGAAAAAGAACGGAAGCCCACCTCGTGCCCTCTACCTGTACCTACGCAAACTGACGCAGAAACAATCGACATTTTAAATTGGACGTACAGATAGGGAAGAAAAGGACAATTCGTACGTCAAACTCTTCCGCAGGTGCCATCTAACAGCAGGTACGAAAACTGAAGCTTCTAGCAACAACTCATAGATGGCAGAGGCATCGGCATATGATTGTGTGGTGTGTGTACATGTGGCAGAGTTGCCATTTTTTTCTGCTCTCGCGCGCACGTGTTTGGAGTTAAGCGAACGACGTTGTACGTACGGACGAGGTTATGTATTTCGTTTAGGCGGTAAGTTTACGGTTCAAAGATTCGATAACAATTTTCGATTTAATCTGTAAAACTGAATTTTCTTACTTAACGCAGTACCAAAGATGCAAGGAAATCGTACGTCATAATTATCGAGGACAGTTTACACATATGAAATTTTGTTAGAGTAAATTTAAATTATATTACAGACCCGAAAAAAGAACGGAAGCCCACCTCGTGCCCTCTACCTGTACCTACGCAAACTGACGCAGAAACAATCGACATTTTAAATTGGACGTACAGATAGGGAAGAAAAGGACAATTCGTACGTCAAATTCTTCCGCAGGTGCCATCTAACAGCAGGCACGAAAACTGAAGCTTCTAGCAACAGCTCATAGATGGCAGAAGCATCGGCATATGATTGTGTGGTGTGTGTGCATGTGGCGTAGTTGCCATTTTTTTCTGCTCTCGCGCGCACATGTGTGGAGTTAGACGGACGAGGTTATGTATTTTGTTTAGGCGGTAAGTCTACGGTTCAAATATTCGATAACAATTTTCGATTTAATTTGTAAAACTGAATTTTCTTACTTAACGCAGTAGCAAAGATGCAAGGAAATCGTACGTCATAATTATCAAGGACATTTTATTCACATTTGCCGCCTTTGGATTCACACTCCAGCGAGAGGAACTTGAAATAAGTAAGTAGCTCTAAACAATTGTTATAAATTCTTTTATATCGATATAAGATATTAATTTCGACATTTCGCAACAACTGGCAGCAGGAGTTTATCGCGGAAAGAATTGGACGAAAGGTTAGAAGGTGGCGAATTGTAAAAATCGTA